TTCCCATAAATATTAAAAATGCATCGAACCTTAAAATCGAAATATCTCAAAAACGGCTAACTATAACGAAACTCACAGGAAAGCTTTTTTATGCACGAAAGTGCGAAGAATCAGTTTTTTTATTCGAAAAGCAAAAAATTGCACTAAGAAAAAAATTTCGGTCATTGAATACACTACAGGTACAGTAGAGAGCGCCCTCTAGCGGCTACAGCAAAACTATGCCCATGGTTCGTTTTGTCGTACCAAAAAACCCTTGTATACCAATTTTCACTGTTATACATCAAATATTGTTCGAAATATTTAAAAAAAACTATTTTAAAAACTAAATTTAAACACCCTGTATTTCGGAAGTCACGCATTTTTCGACCCATGTTTATATAGTCTATATGCATTAATTTTAAAGTTCTATCGAATCTTAAAGTTATGCAACAATAACTGAAACACCCTGTATACCTATGATGTTAAAAAACAACATCCTGGAATGGTGTTTTCGTCTCTATACTAAGTGACGTATAAAATGGAACAACCAGAGTTATTTATTGAAATTTGTTAAATACCTGTAAATATATTTGCTATCATGGAAGTATGTATACACTGATAAAATGTTGAAGACATTCCAAGCCGTACTTTTTTTGTAAAGGCTTTTTTTCACACCAGGAACAATAACAATATGAAGATGTTTACTTGATATTCAGTGATTTTTCTGTGTTGTTTCATTGTTGTTTCATTGCATTATCGTGCCTAGAGTTCACAGACGCGCTAATTTCGCTCAACTTTCTAACACTAAGGTGGGATATCTCAGTTATTTTGCGAAATTTCGAGTTAAAATTTTAATCACTTTCTATTTATCAGTAGATCCAAAACTTGCAAAAGTATGCTCAAAATTACTGCACTCCCAGTCGTTGTTGCATTTACTATATTAAGGACTAGAATACGAAAATTCAACCAAGTGTTGAAACAAATGAAATTATCAAGATAACAAGTAATAATCCTAGTATAATCCACTGAGGTTAACTTACTATATATGGAATATAAATAAATGAACATGGACATACAAGGCTATTGTAGTTTAACTACATTGCAATTTTTAATAAATCGCTAATACCACTGTGTGGTAGACACATTCATAACTATAATAAACAGCCTTTGTATCATAGTTTGGAATCTGTTACGTCGCAGTTCTAACCACACTATGATGTAGATGCACAAAACTCATTTTGCTGTCTCGAATATGTGACGAAGTAAAACCTCGAATCTCGAATCAATAATTAAATCTTCAGAATCTCTTACGGTAATACAATGGGTACTTTCTTATTTTTATACCATTTCTTAACATAACATAAAGAGCAAATCTGCACGATATATATAGCAGTTACATTTTCTTGACTTTTCCAAAAGTGGCTTTGATACGACGGAAGTCACCAGAATTTGCTGAATATACAGGGGGTTCTGAAAGCTGGGTCTTTCTTTTTAGGAACAACTATGTTTAAAATAACAAAGTTAATGGACGGTGAAGCAGTGATTAGGTAAAAAATGATAAAGTTTGAAGTATCGCCCTGCCACCATGATGCTTATACAGGGTGCGTCCATCTATTACTTTTTTCTCTATTTGAAAAATCAACACGCTTTTTACGAGGTGAAATCGAATTTTTTTATTGATAAATGAAGGTTGGTTTATGCGATTCATGTATGAAAAATAACATCAGTTGTGTGACCACCGCGGCTTCGTTTACAGGCCAATATCCGAACATTAAAATGTTCAATGACTTTTCCCATAAAAATCGGTTCTATGGCCGCAATTTCAGTCCGAATATTGCGCCTTAGGTCTTGAATTGTCCGGGGACCATTCGCATACACTTTTCCTTTCAAAAATCCCAAAAGAAAATAGTCAAGAGGTGTTAAATCGCACGATCTCGAGGGCCAACTAAAAATCCGTCTTCTCTTTCCAGCATCCAACTAACAAAAACACGCCGCTGTTGATGGTCTACCGGCTTCAATTCTTGTGTTAGTTGGATTTTGTATGGATGGAGGTGTAAATCAATGCCATCATAACCAAAATGCGTTGTTGTGTTGTAAACGAATCCATGACTATAAATGTCATACCTTTGACAGTTCATTTATGCTTTTAACTTTTAACTCACATGGTAACACATAAACTTATAGGTAAAAAAAGTAATAGATGATGCACCCAGTAGAACAGTGTTTGAAGTTATCCCAATTTGATTCCAAGGTGTCCAAAGAAGGACTTAATCGAGCGCTTTGGCTGGGAAAGTCATTGCAGATCCACCATACACCCTGACATAGCGTTTCCTAAATTAAGGAGCGTCTAGACGGACAACGGTTCGAGACGGACGAGCAATTGCAAGGTGCAGTTAGCAAGTTTCCAAGGGATTCCACGTAGAACAAATGGCGACTGTATAGAAAAATAGCCTAAAGATCAACGCTCCAATGGTATATTCGTTTTTTCAAATAAAAAATTTCTTGTGTCTGGTACCCTATTTTTCAAACAACCCTCGTAGTGCGCTGTGGAAGCAGGACAGGATTTAGTTTAGCGGACTTTTCGGAATTTATTATTCAAGAAAGTCCCAACTGTATTTTTCTTTGTCGTTTTCACTGTCGCTATAACCCATACAAATCCTTACCAAGATCTGAATTGAAATGTTCGTATCACATACCAGAGACAGCATGCTTACAAACAAGCGAAATCTGTTTTCCTCTTCGAGGCGAATCCTCTTCAATCTGAATATGACGGATTGTTGCCTCCAAGCTACCTGTTCAGCTCAGCTGATGGTAACCCTGATTTTGATCAGACTGTCACGCCTTGCAAATCATACAATTGCGACTCCGACTTCTGCCCGGTCCTGACTCTATCTGTAGATCGTTGTTGTCGTTCCAGCCTTCTCTGTCTCACTCTCAGCCATTTGATGATATCACTGTAGTGAAGATGAAGGCCATGATAGCGTTTGAGCAGTGATCCATATTGGAAGGCCAGTTTGACCCCTTTGAAGGTGAAGGTTGTCTGGTAGATGATGTCGAGGAAAGTCCTCTGGAGGCGATCTTCTTCTAGATTCTGAAAAAGACGGGAACGCTGATTAATAAATATACTAAGTGACAATAATTCCGAACACCCAGTTTAAATGGTTTTATTTTAATAAAAGTGGTGAATGTATTTATGTTACTGTAAAATAACAAGTGAAAAAATTTCAGCCTCATCAGTTGGACATTCCGGTTTTATACTGCTTTTTTTTAATTCACTAACGATCTAAAAATGAATATTTCAGCCGCAGTAAAGAATCAACGTTCTCGGATTTTGGTTCTTGACATCCTTTACGATCGGTTACGATGCCTAGAGTACGGAGTCCTATACGATTCGTCAACTTAGTGAGTTTGATAGGGGCCGTATAGTGGGACTTCGGGAAGCTGGACTTTCTTTTCGGGCAATTGCAGTTAGAGTGCAAAGAAGTGTAGACACTGTGGTTAGGTGTTGTCAGGCATGGCTTCGAGAAGGCCGTACGCAAAGAGCAAGGGGCACTGGACCGTGAAGATCGCCGCCTAAGATTATTGGCCTTAAGGGACCTATTGGCATGCGAAGTGTTTACCGACGAACGAGAAGTTTTGGCTTGTTTTTCATACCGGCCACACTGGGTCCTTCCTTTAACTCGAGAACACCGACGTAATCGCCTTGAGTGGTGCAGACAACGGTCACTCTGGGATCAGGAATGGAACAGTATTGTCTTTAGTGACGAGTCTCGATTTTGTTTAGGCATGCACGATGGTCGTGCCAGGGTTAGAAGGCGACGTGGTGAAAGGAGGAATCCACAGTTTTTGTTGAAAGACATGTTCATCACACTGTTGGAGTTATGGTTTGGGGTGCTATAGCTTATGGTTTCCAGGTCACCTTTAATCTTCATCAGAGGTAACATGAACGCGCAGCGTTATATCCACGAAGTTCTAGAACCCCATCTTTTACCCTATCTTGACACCCTGGCAGATCCAACTTTCCAACAAGATAATGCCCGACCACATGTTGCAAGAGTCACAATAGACTTCTTTCAACATAATGATGTCACATTGTTACCATGACCACCAAGATCTCCCGACTTATCCCCATTGAGCACGTGTGGGATATGATGGGTGGGAGATTGCTCAATTTGCAAAACGTCCTCCTCAGACTCTAGAAGCACTTCGAGAGGAGTTGGTGGTTGCCTGGAATGAGATACCACAGGAGGACATTGACCACCTGATCAGAAGCATGCCTAGGCGCGTTGGAGAATGCGTAGCACATCAGGGTGCATCCACACATTATTAAAGGTCAAAGGGCTTTAAAGCAGTGCAATCATTTTGAAATTTTTATCATTTACTTATTATGCTTCATTAAGTTAGTGAATTAAAAAAAGCAGTATAAAAACCGGAATGTTCAACTGATAAGGCTGAAAATTTTTTCACTTGTTATTTACAGTAAGATAAATACATTCACCAACTTTTATTAAAATAAAACCATTTAAACTGGGTGTTCGGATTTATATGTCACTTAGTAGAGATAATTTATGTATACGGTTTTTAATTAGATCGACACCATGGGATAAGGATACGAATTCGCTTAAATAAGGGCAAGTAAATTCAAAATACTTCCGGAAGATCCAAATTTTCCCAAGGAGTTTCAATTTTTTCCCGACTTCCTTTGTAGTGGAATTTCAGAATAAATTGACATTGCCAAGGAGAAGATTCACCGTACACAACAACCAAGCGCTCGTTGATTTCGCTGCACGATTTACCTACGAAAAACAGAATCGAATCACCGACCGATAATGCTCTTTTCCATTTTTCTAAAATGCGCGGCCAAACAAAACTACGAGTCCAATTCGGCTGAAATTTTGACAGTAGCCGCTTACGAGATAGTCAATTCCTCTTGCGATAGTACCAAGTACTAATCGGATCGCCCTCGTACAAGGTTTGTCCGGAAAGTAATAGGACTGTGTCGATTTAAAAAAAATTATTGAGCCAATCGTTACAATTCTTTAAAAACTTTCAAAATAGGCTCCTTCTGCGTCGATGCAGCGCTGCCAGCGCGATTTCCAAGCATTGAAGGTGTCATAGAAGGCATTCTCTCCGGAATAGCCTTGAGAGCTGCGGTGCATGCTGCTTGGATCCCCTCTGTCGTCTCAACTGCTTGCCTTTCATCGGCCTTTTCAGGCGGGGAAACAAAAAAAAGTCCGGGGGCCACATCTGGGCGGTAGGGCGGCCTAAAACGCTAAAATATAGTACTTACCACATTGAACCAGGCGATGGGCAAAACCTGGTCTGCTTCAAATCTTCCCAGCTGAGCGATCCCGTATGATTTTTTCACCATAATATTCACCGGATGACGGTTTGGCCAGACATCAGGTAACCAAATTGTGGATGAACGTACACGATTGATTCGGGTAGGTCCGACCGATTGGGCTGAAGACCTCTGATGCTCTCCGCCAGCTTTCTCCTATCACCGCCCTTGAAGTGGGGCTTGGAGATGAAGAGCGGCGCTCCTGAAACAAAGAAATGAACAATTGGTAAAAGGTGTCAGGTATGCAATAAGTTGACAAAAATATTGCTCTTTAAAAAATGTTCCTACACACGGCTCAACTACGGAGATACACGCCCCTGACTAACCCTGTTTTCCGTATTCTTCTTGAGAAGACTATACAGGGTGTAAACGTTATGATAGTCATTATTTAAATGGTGAAAAGAAGCAAAAAGTTTCATATAACTTGGAAGTCTAACGGCATTTTTTAGAGAACAGCGACTTTAAGTAAAATAAATCTGACCCAGTGTCTTCTTACTCTAGGTCCTCGAAGTTGTCATTTATTATTTCAGCCGTATTAAAAATTTATTCGCGAAGTTGTGCTCAGTTGTTATTGGACCAGCCTTATAAACCGTCCCTTTAAGTTCTCCTCAATCACCAGAAATCCATAGGATTGAGGTCAGGAAATCTTGCTGGCCATTTCGAGGATCAGGAGCACTTCGACGGATCCAGCGATTTGGATAATGTTCATTCAAATACTGAATGGCGCCTCTAAAAATGTGTGGTGGTGCCCCGTCATGAAGAAACCACAAATTCTGTCTCCGTTGTAAGGTCTGTTTCAAAAGTTCTGGTAGGTTATTGGCTAGAAAGGTAACGTATCCTTCTGCTGACAACTTTGTGGGTAACTCGAAAGGGCCAATTACCTGATCGTCTAGAATACCCGCGCAAATATTTATTTTAAAACGTTGTTGGAAATGACAGTAGATGTTCTACGCGGGAACCCGACCAGAGGTGATACAAAACAGCCGATGGACGGCTGCAAGTCGACCTTATCGGTGTAGGATTCTATGGACTATGGTATGCGATAGTCCTACGCGGCGGCCTAATTCCCGAGTGCTGATATCTGCATTGGTTTCCACTGTATTTAAAATTTGTTCCTCCTGCTCTACAGTAACCTGTCTTTCACGAGTCTGGGTGTACCCGTTGGCGAAATTTGAGCTGCAATATTTGAATTCTGACGAGCTTCACCGTAAACTAACAACATTTCGGCGAACTCTTGATTCTAGAACATTGGTAATAAACACGACGACGTACGCGAACAATAACTAACCACTGCTATTGTTTGCGATCGATTGCCGGTTCGATAAGAGTGATGAATGACCGACGCGCTGTTGTCATGTGTGTTTTAAATATTTAATTTAAAGAAAATTACTTACTGACTACAAATTTTGGCTTAACTTAGAAAAACTTAATGCCATTCATTTGTTAATTACCCAATTTAAAAACGTTTTAGATTACAGCACAGACAGAGATGAAAATAATGGCCGATTGTTCTCCACCGGTAGAACCAATGAAATCAAAGACGCGCCTCGACCGGCAGACTCATAGGCGTCGGCAACGCATTGGAACGTGTTTCGTTGAGCGATCGCATATTGTGCGTTTTTATAAGAATTGTTGTGTGATTGTTATTGTTGTGGTTTCTGTGGTTACTGTTTTGGTTATACTTAACCATGGAGAGTACAAATGGCACGAGTGGAAGTACTGAAAGCCAGGGAACAAGTAGACGGCTTCGTAAAGCACTGAAGAGGGACGCGAAAGAAATCGACAAGCAAGCATTGAAGGTTTGTCAACAGGTCTTCGTGGACCGTCAGGGAAAGGTCAAAGATTGATCGTAACTCATATTGGTAGCGATAGTGGCTTTTTAGAAGAGTGTGACTTGATTTTCGTCTCTAAGAAAGGAGGTGATTACCATGACGAAATGAATGCCAGCTGCTTCGAGAGCTGGTTTCAAGGGGTGCTTCAGCGAGTTGAGCCCAACTCTGTGATCGTCATGGATAATGCTTCCTACCATAGTCGTCGAGCCGAACGTGTACCGAATATGGGATCTCGAAAAGTGACATGCAGCAATGGTTGCGCGAAAAAGGAATCCCGTTTGACGATTCATGTGTGAAAGCGGAATTGTATGAAAAAATTAAACAGCACAAACCTGCGAACATTAGTTACGTGACTGATGAGATGGCCCGTCAATGTGGTGTCACTGTGCTGTGGTTACCGCCCTACCACTGTGAACTGAACCCAATAGAGCTCATCTGGGCTCAAGTGAAGGGTTATATTGCGCGCCATAACACAACCTTCAAATTACCAGACGTTAAGGTTTTACTTGAGACTTCCATACAGCTAGTAACGCCCGAAGCTTGGCAGAATGCTATCCGTCATGTTGTGAAGGTAGAAACAAAAATGTGGCAGCTTGACCACCACATCGACACCATCATAGAGCCAATTATAGTCAATTTCAACGAGGAAAGCGATAGCGACAGTTTATTACTGTCAGATGTAAGTGGAAGCGACGATGAATAAAGGTAATTCCCAAATTTTTGACTTACAATATGTTTCAAACCACTCTTTATTAAGCATGTGACAAATCTGGTTCGCTCATGTTAAACATTCATACCCCGCCTATGAACAGCCGACTACTGGTAGTTAAGTGATGTTCACGTGAACATCGATGAGTCATTACAGTTTTAGATAGTCATAGTATAGTATTTTATATTTACTTACCTAAATTGCAGGCTGTAGCGTTGATGAGACCCTTAGGAGGACACGCTCCAGCTTCGCTGCAGTAGCATTGATTCTCGGGATATTCATCAGCCGTCTGAAACACACTTTGAGGCTGTTTGTACTTATAAGCGGAAACTTTTCCGTCCAGAATCGACACCTCTTCATCAAACTCCATGGGCATCGCGCGACAAGCTGGTAGGAACAGGTAACGAACAGGTTTCTTTGCCTGGATCAGGTTGGGTGGGTAGTTCACGCCCTCAGTCGCGCTGATTCTGGAAAAGATAAATAAGTTATGAAATCTGAAACTTTCATTACAGTACAAAAGAAACATCGCTTTATACATAGTGCAATCTTTTGAATCCAATCTCAACGCGGTGTCATTAAGAAATTACTCACCTGTTACACTCATTCGTGGAGAAATAGTCCAGTTCTGTTTCACCATTCACCTCTTCAACCATGCCAACCCTGTTTATGTCAGTCTTTCCCGTATTCACCGTGAGTTCGTCTTTGTTCACTCCAACATTCTGAAAATTGGAAAATATGACGTATAAAACAACTGAAAAATATGTCCAGGACCACTAAATAATAATAGAATTTTCGTTCAACGAACTTCAAAGTTTCCGTAGTCATACGGTCCGTTGATAAAGAAGTATTACGCGCAAGGAGGTGAGAGATCTGACCACGCCATCTACCAATGGTTTGCTGAAGAATACGAAACAGCGGGTGTGTATGGTTGGTTGTGGTTACAGAGACGGTAAGCAAGCCTGATACTTGATCCAAAGGGAAAAAAGCGATTACTAATTGCCTATAGAGGTACTTAATGTTCGCCTTTCTGCTTTCAATAAATTGGTTTGAACGTACAAAGTTGAGAGTACATATTATATATATATATAACTTGAGACGTGGTCATTGTCGTCTAGATCAGTTAGGTGAAAAATTAAAGCTTCCGCCTTTTGTTAGGTACTTCGACAAAATTTAAGCAAAGAGGACTCTTTATACTTTTTTAATTCTCTCTAGCTTCAATGGACTTTGCCATCATCATCAGGAGCTGCAATTACATGATAACAGTAGCAACAATAGTGTAAAATGAATTTAGATTGACTTAACTTACAGTAGTTGTGAGGATGTTGCTAATAATAGCACAATTATTGTTGTTTACGTATATTAAATATATATATATATATACTCGTATATTAGGGTGGCGCATCGAAAACCAAAACAGACGCATTTACTGGCAGCTCAGTTTTTTTTAAAAAAAACGCTCAGACCCGTCGATTTTGTTTTTGAGGGGACACAAGTTTGGTAAAAATATCACGTTAGCACAAGCAGCCCCCTATGCGGGGGTGACACCACCCCCAAAATCTTAAATGGAAAGGGAGGTTGAGTGATACCTTAGTTTAAAGATCTTTCAATTCCCTTTATAATGATATAAAATTAATGTACTTCAGTTCAGTAGTTTGAAGATTTATTGATTTAAAGCTTAAATAAACTAATACATAATCATTAGTGGAGATCAATACATTTGGCAGCAAAGTAATTTAACTATTTACTTATTAGTAAATTCTTTTAGTCAAATTTCCTCTGAAAGTAGTACAAACTAATCTGATGTACCTATTAAAGTGTACTTTAAGCTTAAGTCAATAAATCTTCAAAACTACTTATAAAAGATTGAAAGACCTTAAAATCTGTTTCGTTTTCGATGCGCCACCCTGTATATATACGTTATAGACGAGAGAATTATTCATGTGACTATCGTAAAAATCTTCGAATTCGAGATTTTCGTTGTCGTTCTTTGAGTCATTCCTATGGCTCGAACGAATTTAGTATTAACTATTTATAAAACAATTTTGTGTTTGGTTTTAAGTAAATAGTCGCAAGAAAGGCATTAGTTGTAAGTCAAGAGGTAAGTAAACTTAGGTATTTGATACAGTCATGGAAAAAAAGGTTTGTATTCAAACAGCAAATCACTTGCAAGTCAATAAAATGACTTAAATAAGTGAAACGAGCTTGGGGAAAAAGGTTTGTTACCACAAGCACGGGACTTCGTCTAAAGCTGCCAATATCGATCTATAACCAGACCCTGCATCCCCGCGTTACTAAATCCACTAGTCGGAAGGCACTAGCAGTAGTTGCAATATACACTTCTTATGATAATTCCCAATCTGTCTCGCTAACACAGTGTATACTACCGAAGAGAGCAATCCCATCTTTTCGGGAGCGTCGATGTTGTTTATTCTTTGGAATCCCTTGGACATCTCGAATACTTATCATCGTATCCCATAATGAAGAGGTGAGCCGATACGGTTAGGAAAGGCTTGACATCCATGCCAGCCAATAATCCTGCAAATCCCAACCTGGCGAAATAGTTTTGGTTCTGTACCATCGCTGCTCCTGTCTGGAAGAAGAATGATTAGATTTACCTCGTAATCTGCATTGTTATCTACGTCGGTTGGAACTTTACCCTCTACTCTATATTTACCGCGATATATTTTTATTTATGTCAATTTTGCTGGTAACAGTGGATCTGTCAAGTTTAGTTCCACCGATTATTATCAAAATTAATGTTACAGTGGGACCGCCGATAATCCGGCGCCTCTATCTAATCCGGCGCCCCCTGTAATCCGACATGTCGTTGAATTTGTATTACGTACATACGTATTTGACAATCTTCGCTAATGTAGATCACGCAGGTTTGAACAGGTTACACTTGTACGCGGCACCGCTATCGTGCTCGACGCGTAAGCATTGTTTTACTTACAGTATATTCAGATATGAGATAGACCGGATGTAAACAAAAGGTTCGGGTGATTTTCACGCTAACGCGCCGTCCTCGACGTAAAATAGGAGCCCTCATTGGTCAATTCGCAATTAAATGCCTATGCCGAGCGGCAGAGAGCAGTCGTATCAAGGCAGAGTCACATTCAGGTTCAGACGTGTTACGTATGTCGTGTGCATCATTGCAATTTGATATTTCTTGGACGTTTTCGTTTGTTATCTTATTAAGTTGTTGCGTTTGTCGTTGTTATTGTTATACCTTGTTATTGCTGTTATTGTTATCAACTGCTTGCGCAAAATGCCCAGTAGTACAGATACTGCCGATGAAGTTGTAAACTCCTGTAGTCCACCTAGGAAACGCTCTAAAAAAAGACACCTGAGTGCAGAAATGAAAGAGGTCATTTTGAATATATATAAGATCGAGCGCGAGGAGAACGAGGCATCAACCATCAAAGAAATTGTTTGTGAAGGTTTCTCACAAAGTTGGGGTGTGTCGCGCATCAGTGTTTAATGTGTTAAGACAATACAAAAAAAATCACACCTTTTCTGAGCCAATGACCAGTAAACATCGCAAAAGTATTGTTAATCATTGGATGAAGCTGATAAGCATGCGATTATGAGGAAAGTGCATGAATTCTTCTTTAGGAATGAAATACCTACTATAGATAAAGTACTGCAGGAGGTAAATGGAGATACAACGTTGCCAAATTTCAAACGATCAACTTTCCATGCGTTACTGAAGCATTTAAATTCAAATGGAAAAAACGGGGTCGTAATAGTTACTACTGGTAGAGAAGAAATTGTGCTATGGAGGAGGGATTATTTAACAAAAATTGGGAAATATAGAAATCAAAACAGGAGATTTATTACCTTGATGAACGTGGGTAAACGCAGGACACCTACAAGTAAAGTATGGGTTGATGATTCTGTAACTTCATCCAGGAGGGCCTTTCTAGATGGACTGTCCACCGGATAAAAAATCCAGCAGGTAAATACGAGTAATAGACAACAATCGGATGTTTTTCAAACCTTGGGAAAAGGTTCTAAACATTAATTCCAGGGGGCAGATAAAACATATTACAAGTAACAAAACTTTTATAACTTTCGATAAAATGCGTGATGTTTTATTGTCATTTTCATTTGTTAGAACTTTTTTAAGCCATGTTTTTATGTGTTTTCGATATTTCAATAATTTTTTAATATAATCTTAAAATATGTCGAATATTATAAACTAAAAAAAGTTACTAAGTTTTATATTGTGTACCGTTCCTAATATTTCTAATCATTTTAATTCATACTTTAAGCTTTATAAAGTTATAATTTGTTAATATTAATATTTGCGCGTATTTCAGGTTCCTGATCATTCATTTTTTAAAGGTTTATAACTTTAAATTAAATTGTGAAGCGCTGAGTAATCATACGACGTTCAATATTCTTTCTTTCAATATGACTAAATAATCCCAATTATAGCAATCTGATACTCATGTCTCAATGTTTTTTCGCTGAATGTGATGAAAACATTTGAAAAAGGTTCGCTTATTGAAATAAATCTACACCAGTTAGTACTTCGATTTCCAGGTAAAGGGAAAAGGCTCATTATCTGCCATATTGGCAGTGAGGATGGATTTGTTGTTGACGGTCTGTGGTGCTTTGAGTCTAAGAAAACTGGAGATTACCACGAGGAAATGAATGGCGAATCGTTTGAACAGTGGTTTTCAAAAATTTTACCGAACTTAGAGGAAAACGCAGTAATTGTGTTGGATAATGCGCCTTATCATTCTCGAAGAATGGAGAAGGTCCCAACAACGGCTTCAAGGAAAGTTGATGTTCAAAATTGGCTCCGCTCGAAAAATATCAACTTTGAAGAACAATGCTGAAAGTACAATTATTAAGAATTGTCAAGGATCACAAGGCGGAATATCAAAAATACGCCATTGACGAAATGGCAGCAAGTCAAAATAAAACTGTGCTCCGTTTACCTCCATACCATTGCGAGCTCAATCCCATTGAGCTCATATGGGCAGAGGTTAAAAATTATATAGCTAAGCACAATACAACTTTTAAATTTTGTGACCCAAAGGACTTTTCAAAGAAGCACTAGAGCGCAAAAATGGGAAAACTGTATTAAGCACGTGAAAGACAAAGTTGAAAAGAGAATGTGGGAACTGGACAATATTTTAGAGGAACAAGTCGAGCCATTCATTATTGACGTTGGTGCTTCAGGCAGTAGCGATGATGAAAGCTCATCAAGCTCATCTTTCCAATAAAAGATGTCGTTCATCAAATTCGGTAAGTTATAAGTAATTATAAAGCTACTGTATTTTTTAATTAATTATTGACATTTTTGAACCCATTTTGGCAAAACCTATTCAAGAATCTACTTTCTGACAATGTTCAACCATGCACATTTTTTTACGTTTTGAACGTTTTAATTTGGTTACATATTTACCTAGAAATCAAAAAATATACTAATCAATATTCTAAAAAATTTTAAGAGATATACGATTATTTTTAATTTAGGCTAATTTAAACGCCATTTTGAGATTATATTCGACTGTATTTCACCAAACATCAGGCGGCATCCGAAGCTGGAAATCGAAGCGAAAATTTTGAAACCCTTATGTATATTTACATCATTATATATTCTTACCCCACCCCCACATGATCCTATATCCATCACCAATCGTATACACATCGAATTGTGCTAATTTACTACAAAGTTACGCAAAAGCATCTACTATCTAAAATATGTACTGCGTGACTCTTAAT